TGACTTAGACACATGCTTAGGCTTACTGTGGGTTGCTGGGGGAGTCGATAATGACGTGTTTACACCAGGCGTGATGGTGTGTTTAAAGAGCTCAGCATTAAATGTGGTCGAATTCCCTACGGGATTGACTAAGCCGTGATGTGCAGATGCCGCAGATGGTGTTGTAGAGGACTTATTCAGACTGACAGTAGGTGTCATTATCTTGGTGCTGGTTTTTGCCGATTTTACTTTATTCAGTCTTCGCTGCAGCGGTGTGAGGTCTGGCGAAACGGAGCAGCGCCATTTACGGCAGAAGTCTCTAGTTATCTCCCTACTCGACAAGAGAAAATTGACTTCTATCATGAAGAAAAGGGTAACTTGTATCGGCGCATTACGGCTAAGCGAGCGAAGTCGCTTAGCTTGTGCGACACTGAAACTCAAGCCACAACTTTGTAGGAACACATGCGCTCCCTTCATAGCAGATAAGTGGCTCGGAATGTTTCGCAGTACGAAATTATGCTTGCCTCTACTTCTTTCCTCAGTTTCCGTACTTATTACCCCAATAAGTTTAAAAGCTTGTTCAATTACTTTTTCAGAAGTGCTGTTTATGTCGCCATAAATCAACTGGTCGACTATTTCACCGGCTGATGGCCTGCTACGACTAGCAGAGGCGTATTTTTGGACGACTGAAGGGTCAAGAGGTTCTACATGTACAAAAGGCATTTGTGAGTTAATCAGATCTGCGGACGGTGAAGAACATACGCTGGCACCTGCTATGTCTTCAGTCGCGATTGTAGCACCAAGAGACGGTGGGGAGACCGCAAGCTTTCGCCGTTTAGCACGTGCTTTGCGGGGCATTACAGACAGGAAAAGTTTTTCGTTACAGAAGAAGGGTCAACACGTTGTCAACGTACGGAATATCGCACTTAATAGCAAGTGATACTGTTATTTGACTACGAAAAATAGAAAGAGATAGTACGGAAAGGAGTCACTAAAGGAAGTTGTCCCATCGTTTCCCACTCTATCGTAGGTGCGCTGAAATCCTTCGCAGTAAGAACTTCTTGGTGGCTAGCTTCTTCCTCGACTAAGTGAAGCAACAACTCATAAGCTGTGCTCGGAAG